TTCCGGCCCACGACCAACATAATTCTGCCCGGAATTATGGAGCAATTTTTAAACGGTTAAACGGTTCCAATCCCTACGTATACGTACGTACGTATTTTTAATAATGTTTAGGAAAAGCAATTCCATTCACATCCGAATTGGATTTATCATGTAAGAATCCACCGGCTAGTACTGTAGTAAGTAATTAGTGATGAAAATCTGACTTAAAAAAATTAAAAGGGCATCCAAATAATCTGAGACTCTCAGAGCGAATGCGAGCTCAAACACCCTCCAATATACAAAATATATGTAATAACTTTGCTAAAAATTGTTATAAACATCTCGCAGAAGTTGTTTCTCGTGATAATACATGGAATGAAAGCAGATATTACAGATGTAATAACTCCGACCAAAAAACATGCTTTCTTAGCACGTAAATCAATACAAATTTTATCTACTAAAAAACAATCAACTAATTTATTTTTTTTTTCATACAGAGATATGTTCATGCAGATTTTCACTTGGGATACGTTCACGCAGACTTTCCCTTGGATACGTTCACGCAGACTTTCACTTGGGATACGTTCACGCAGACTTTCACTTGGGATACGTTCACGCAGACTTTCGCTTGGGATACGTTCACGCAGACTTTTGCTGGATATGTTCATGCAGACTTTTCGCATGATACGTTCATGCCGACTTTCGTTCGTTTGGACATGTTCATGCAGATTCATATTCATGCGGACTTTCACTTTGTAAGTTATTAATTTAAAACCCCAAAGACTAGTTTTATCTTGACATTGTTCATTTCTTTCTGGTTAATAGTTAAATCTTTTATGAATAGGGTTCGGTCGCCTTAGGAGTAAGGTTTAAAATTGGTTGTTCACGTTATTTAACAGACAGAACGATTAGATTAGACTAGAAGCTGGATATGTTCATAAAAACTTTTACGTGGTAATATTTTACAAGATGATGCCGTTAACAAAACTCTGCGATTTTATGTTTCAGATCCTGTAAGCTCGATAAAGACATTAGCGAAACTCGGTATATAAATTGTGGGGGACAAAATGCATTTAAATGTTCTTTTTAGAGATAGAGATGGCATTTATTGATTTCACTATTTGCTTTATGGTATGTAACAATAAATGTAAATTTTAATAATAACATGCAAATAACTTAATTTTTATTCTTTTATGAAATTAGAATATGCTGGAAGTCCAGAATTATGGAATGAAATTTATGAATGATTTACAACAAATTATGTAAAGTTGTACGTATTATATTCTGTATTAGCATAGCGGGCTTTATTATGATTGGCTAATTTTTGAAGATCATCTTATCATAATGAAGTCTTATTAAAGTAACGA